GCCTCAGCCTCCGGCGGTGGCTGCTGCTGGCTCGTCCCTTGGCTCTCACCGTCTTCTTCATCATCTTCCCGGCTTTCCTCCAGCTCTGCCGGCGACATGCTGCCGTCTCTCTCCTCGCTTTCCAGCCCTCCTGCGCTCGGCGGGGTGTCATCTGTCCAGGTTGGCTCTTCTGTCCCCAGAGCCCCCTCTGTGTCCTCTGTTGTCACCTCCCAGTCCTCCGGGCAGGGTTTTTGGCTGTTGCCATCATCCCTCCCACCCCAGGGCTCCTCTCCTGGCTCCGGCTCCTCCTGCTCCCGCACCTCTTCCACAAAGCCATTTTCCTGCAGGTCCTCGAGCTCCTCCTGGGCTCTGCTCTCCTGCCCCGGGGCTGGAGGTCCCCCAGCATCTCCTGCCCGGGGGTCTTCTCCTCCCAGTGCCTCCCCGCTGGTCTCTCCCTTTTCTCCCTCGCCATCCTTTGCTCTGCCTGAGTCCTCCCCTCCCACAGCGTCTTCTTCATCCTCCGATGAAGCCTCCTCTGCTGGGATGGCTTCATGGATGCTCGAGGGCTCCTGCTCGGCTGCCCCGGGGCTGGAGGTCCCCCAGCATCTCCTGCCCGGGGGTCTTCTCCTCCCAGTGCCTCCCCGCTGGTCTCTCCCTTTTCTCCCTCGCCATCCTTTGCTCTGCCTGAGTCCTCCCCTCCCACAGCGTCTTCTTCATCCTCCGATGAAGCCTCCTCTGCTGGGATGGCTTCATGGATGCTCGAGGGCTCCTGCTCGGGGCAGAGCTCCTGCCCCTGCCACATCTCCTGCCCCCTTTCCTCCTCTGCAGCCAGTTTTGTCTCACACACGGGCATTTCCCCATGCTCACGCTTTTCCCGCTCTCCATCAACAAGGTCCTCCTCCAGGCGACTTTCCGTGGGCAAACCCGCCTGGCTCTCCGTGGGGACAGCAAGGGCAGCTTCAATTTCTCTTTGCGGGGACTCCCCTTCTCGCGCGTCCATCCCTTCACCCTGGCAATCGCCCTCCTCCCCGCCGGGGCTGCCGGCTCCCCTCTCCTCCTCGTCCTCCGAGGGCTGCGATGTCTCTGTGCTGGCGGCCTCTGCCTCATCCTCCCCTCGCTCTGGCTCTTCCCGGCTGGTCCCCATCTGGCCAGGGCCACTCGTGTCCTCTTCCAGGGCCACTGCTTCTGGTTCCCTTGAGCTCAGCACGGTGGGCATCTCCTCCTCCCACGCTCCCATCTCATCCCGGCTCCCCCCGGCACTC